TTATGGCACTTATTGCAACAAATGGCATGACAGACCAGCGTGTTTACTGCTAGTATTAGTCTGTGCGATTCAGACAATATACTGGTATTTCTGATGCCACTTTTGCAGAGTGGTAGGCAGAATTTTATAATAGTTTTTATGCAAACTGTAACCGCCAGGATTGAACAAACAAGTCTGTATGTCATCCATGTCTACTTCAGATTTAAACAGGCATTCCATTTGATGCAGATCTTTTCAGCAGAACCTGAATGTATGTTTTTGAAGTTCTTTGTAATTTGGGTAAATAGAGGCTTATGTGCACATACGAGGTGTGTTTAATAAATTAATACCGATGACCCACTCCCAGTTGTTTGATCTAGTTGAAATGTTACATGTGCAATTAATTATGTCTCTAAAGTAGCAAATTACGGCTCAGAACTAATTGTGGTTTCTGATTTAGAAGAATTTGATCTGAGTCAAGTCTTAAATGGAGCCTGCTGAGTGTCGAGGAGTGATCCGATTTTTGTACTTAAAAGGATACGATTAACTGAGGCCAAGCTGCCAGGTTTCCACCGGTTGCCTGGCTGCTCAGGTCTAGGCAGTTACCTAACGCTGGCATTGTCTCTGTGGAAAGATAGGAGCCACATTGGGGAAGAGAGAGGGGAAAAAAAGCATATTTCACACTTTATCCTTGACAGGATACAGTTTGAGATATCAAAAAACCTCGCACAAGAAAGTGCATGTAAACACAAGACAGACACTTTAGAGGAGGCTCACATAGGAGCTGTAGTCACATGAAGTCATTCTGACATATTGAGACATTAGTTGTGTGTGTATGATGAGTGTGTTCAATTTGTCTGTGAACGCTGACCACAGGCAATGTCCTTGATAAGATGGAAGTTTATCAACAGTCACTGAGTGCATCCATAGATGTTTCATGGGGAGGGGAGGGGAGGAGCAGTCTTGCGAACGTGCGAGTACGGTTTTCACCAATTTCATTTGAATTTTGCACTTAAAATAAGTCTGGCTTGATTTAAATCAGTTTGTTTGTTGTAAAAAAAAAATAAGAAAAAGAAGGAATTTCAGAAAAGTCAAATGGTAAATTTGTTGGGGTAAAGGGGACCGGTTGAAAAATCTTCGCCATTACCTTATAGATTTCCAGCAGCGACCCCTAATGCAGCACAATAGCGTGCACACATATACCTCCTAATATGCACAGAAACATGAGAAGGTGAACCCTGCTCCATTAAGATGTCATTCAGCTCATAGAGGCAGGTGAACACACTCAAGCCCCGACAGATAAGAGCAACCATTGAAAAAAGACCCCCCCCCCCACCCCGATGCTGGTTATGTTAACACTTTTAAAACCACAATGGAAAAATGTCAATATCCTGACTTTTAATTGGTATTATGGCCTTGGGAACCTTGTTTTAAAGACATTTACCTCCATACTGGACCCTGTTTGCACATGCACAATATTGCATGTGCACGTGATCGCAGGGGATCTTAAACATACTGAACTGAAAATAGTGCTCCTGAAATTCCGCCAGCACATTAAATGTGCCATCAAGGAACCCAGGACTCTAAACAAAGCCTATTCGAAGATTAAGCATGGTTACAGGGCCATAAAGCTGCCATACCTGGGAGCCTTTGACCACATGTCCCCACTCCTTATTCTGGCCTACCCACCGCTGAGGAAGTGCTCACCCCCCCATAACCCGGACTGTGACCACTTGGCCTGACAGTGCCTCTTCAGCTGCAGGACTGCTTTTAAAGCACCAACTAGGATGTTTGTTTGTTTTTTCTGCCAGGACCTAGAGGTGTTTGCCTCTGCAGTACTTGGCTACATCCTCAACTGTGTCAACTGTCTGTCACAGTGGACAAATGCATCTGATTGTTTCCTAACCAGTAACCCTGAATGAACAAGGATGTCAAGGAACTTCTGAGGGACAGAAAAGGTGTCTTCAAGTCTAGGTACAGGTGTGGGAAGGGCCATTTTGAATGGCTGCTACTGTTGCACCAAAACCTCTGATCTCTCAGGACGCCTAACTGGTGGAGGACCTTAACCACTTTTTTGCCCGCTTCAAGACTGATACACCAGTGGGACCCACACTGCAGGGTAAACACCTTAACAACCAGACCTTCACTGTGGAAAAACCGGAGGTGAGGAGAACCCTGAGGGCAGTGAACCCATGCAGAGCTGTTGGAGCCACTCCCAGTGCTTCATCCCACCATACCTGAAGTCCCTACCATCGTCCTTAAAAGACCAAAATCACCAGCTACACAAGACTCCTACTCCTGAACTTTAGCTCGGCCTATAACCATATCACCCTGAGACAGCTGTTGAGCAAACTGGGAGACCTAGGTCTCCCCAATAACACCTTAAGTTGAATTATGGAATTCCTGACGGACAAGACCACTTATGGGGGGGCGGTGGAGCATATGTCGGGCATATTGCATGGACAATAACCTGACTCTGAACACCTCTAATACAAAAGAGCTCATCTTTCACTATCCTAGGTGTAAACAGGACACACAGCCCATCACCATCAGTGGGGACAGGGTGGAGGCTGCTGCTGTGCTTCCACTATGGTTGACACTAGACACTAGACTTGAAGACACTAAAGGTGTCTTCAAGTCTAGGTACATGTGTGGGAAGGCCCATTTTGAATGGCTGCTACTGTTGCACCAAAACCTCTGATCTCTCAGGACGCCTAACTGGTGGAGGACCTTAACCACTTTTTTGCCCGCTTCAAGACTGATACACCAGTGGGACCCACACTGCAGGGTAAACACCTTAACCACCAGACCTTCACTGTGGAAAAACCGGAGGTGAGGAGAACCCTGAGGGCAGTGAACCCATGCAGAGCTGTTGGAGCCACTCCCAGTGCTTCATCCCACCATACCTGAAGTCCCTACCATCGTCCTTAAAAGACCAAAATCACCAGCTACACAAGACTCCTACTCCTGAACTTTAGCTCGGCCTATAACCATATCACCCTGAGACAGCTGTTGAGCAAACTGGGAGACCTAGGTCTCCCCAATAACACCTTAAGTTGAATTATGGAATTCCTGACGGACAAGACCACTTATGGGGGGGCGGTGGAGCATATGTCGGGCATATTGCATGGACAATAACCTGACTCTGAACACCTCTAATACAAAAGAGCTCATCTTTCACTATCCTAGGTGTAAACAGGACACACAGCCCATCACCATCAGTGGGGACAGGGTGGAGGCTGCTGCTGTGCTTCCACTATGGTTGACACTAGACACTAGACTTGAAGACACTAAAGGTGTCTTCAAGTCTAGGTACAGGTGTGGGAAGGCCCATTTTGAATGGCTGCTACTGTTGCACCAAAACCTCTGATCTCTCAGGACGCCTAACTGGTGGAGGACCTTAACCACTTTTTTGCCCGCTTCAAGACTGATACACCAGTGGGACCCACACTGCAGGGTAAACACCTTAACAACCAGACCTTCACTGTGGAAAAACCGGAGGTGAGGAGAACCCTGAGGGCAGTGAACCCATGCAGAGCTGTTGGAGCCACTCCCAGTGCTTCATCCCACCATACCTGAAGTCCCTACCATCGTCCTTAAAAGACCAAAATCACCAGCTACACAAGACTCCTACTCCTGAACTTTAGCTCGGCCTATAACCATATCACCCTGAGACAGCTGTTGAGCAAACTGGGAGACCTAGGTCTCCCCAATAACACCTTAAGTTGAATTATGGAATTCCTGACGGACAAGACCACTTATGGGGGGGCGGTGGAGCATATGTCGGGCATATTGCATGGACAATAACCTGACTCTGAACACCTCTAATACAAAAGAGCTCATCTTTCACTATCCTAGGTGTAAACAGGACACACAGCCCATCACCATCAGTGGGGACAGGGTGGAGGCTGCTGCTGTGCTTCCACTATGGTTCTTTATCTGCACTGTAGCAGAGAGAAAGCAGCCCATATGGGTCATTAACATCATCCCAAAACTGACTGGCTGCCGTCTCCCTTCCATAGAAGATATTTACTTCACCTGCTGTATCAGGAGAGCCTGCAGCATCATCAGACATTCCTCACACACCTGTCACCATCTTTTCCAACTACTCCACACTGGGAGGCGTTTTAGGGCAATAAGAACTAAACAGACTGAAAAAAAGCTTCATTCTGAGGGCTGTTGTTGCCATGAACACCTAACACACACTTTAGCTAAAAAACAAACACATGAACAGTCAGTACACTCTGTGCACTCTCTACAATGGGGTATAAGTGCAATATTCTCATGTGCAATACCGCAATTTCTGTATAAATATTCATGTGTATATATATTTTTCTTCTTTAACTGCTCAGTCCTTTTATGTCTGCACTGTTTTGTTTTATGTTGTTTTGAGTTGCTAATATGTCATACCCTTGAGCAACAGCGACAAATGAAGGCCTCTGATTCTGATAGACATTATGGAAGGACTATATTTAGCGACTCTTCAGACTTTTTGACTCCTTCAAAAAACAACTAGTGACAGAATCTAGCAATTATTTCCTGTGTTGTTGGAGGCATTGATGACAACATGTGCATCGATAGCTCTGAGTTTAGTGTCTTCAGCGGGTAGTAGTGAGTAGTGAGTGAGCACATTTTGCATTTAATTCCAACCTCATCCACTGTGTGCCCCTGTAAAAAGCCTTTAAGATGAATCTGATAACATAAAGTTGATTTAGCTTAGTTTCACAGTGTTTATCTTGAGTTTCACATGTTTTGGAGTATTTTAATAACATTCTGTCTAATTATGTGAATACCCCCCCCCCCCACACACACACACACACACACACACACACACACACACACACACACACTCATAAAACATCTGAATTAACTATTTAAGCATAATGTATTATTAGAGAAAAAGACAAGTCCATGCATGCCCCAGTTTTGACATTGTGTTCATTCCTGCAGCTGCACATGGTTCTCACCAATCATACAAAGCTTTCAGTTTCTGCTTTGCTTAGACTTCTTTGCTTAGATTAAATCTCTTTCGGGACACTGAAAGACATCTAATCCTTCAAGATCCAGTTTTACAGGTTTTTACACCAGCACTTGCAACATGCGTGACTAGATGTTAGAACCAGTGTAAAGCTCTCATAACATGCATCGTTTCTGCTTATTAAGTTTTTACGGATGTTTCACTTGAACCGAAGAGAGTACAGGGACAGTGACAAGAAAGGGATCCATAAACAATGAAAAATTATGAAGAGACTGTGGCTTTCTTGGATCATTGGGGATGTTTTCAAAAGACGGTATTTTTCTTGCTCTGCGCTAGTATTATTCCTAATGGATTTGGTGCTTTTAATCTTGTTTTTCTGACTGATGTACCAGATCACCACTGCTTTGTACCAGACACTAACCTCTCAGAGGATTGGAGAAAAAACATCATACCAATAACAGTAAGTCATTTTGTCTGTGTTACTTTTTGTATTCCCAGATGAAGGTCTTTCTGATCACAAGCTCAAATTAAATGGTAAAAAACCTAGACAGATATAAGTGTGTCAAAATCCTCTGGTTGCCTTTGGACCATTTTTGGTTCCCAGAATCTTAATCAAGATTTATACAGGTCAAGTGTTAGTCCTGTTGCAGTGTCGTTACTTGTGGATCTATTTCATGACTCAATAATTCTTGAAGTAAGCAGGAAGAATTATCCAGACCATGATCCACTACCGATAGACTCCATAAAACACATTTTGGGAATGCTATGGTATCTCAAATTATTTCTGGGCACTAATACGGGTCCTCTTGTCTGAATATCAAGGTACTGAATGGGAAACAGGAACTAAGCAAATGCAGCAGATACAGACTGGATGTGGTCCAAAATCTCTCTGCTCAGGGATTCATTCCTGGCAAGGACATCAACCTCACTGACTTGGAGCAGGAGGGCTGTGTGGATGGCTGGAGCTACAGCAAAGATGTTTATCTGTCCAATTTGGTGACTGAGGTGAGTACTTTTTTATCTAATTTTATCTAATGTCTGACCTTAATGTGGAAAACCATTAAGAATAAGGCAGCAGAAGCTTTTTGGTGCTGCCAGTGCTTGCAGTCAAAATGTAGAATTATTCATTAAAATAATCAATTTCATATTTATTTCATTAGCCATTGTTACAGGCAAAGAAAGGACAGGTTAGCTCCGCCCAACGCGCATTTGACCCACTTTTCAACCATGCAGCTAGAGCAGCAAGAGTGACTCAGCTGTGCACCGCATCTGAACATCTTTGCTGCTTCTGCAGCATGCTGTCTGAATTAGGGTGCCTTAACAGTAAACTTTATCTTACTGAGGTTAAATTCTAAGAAAAATGTTAAAATTGGAGAAATTCTTTCTTCTGAAATTTTCTCAGAGCAACTTTAGCCTTAAGATTATTTCCGAATATGGGCCCTTGCCTTTAGAAAGGCTTTTCCAGAGTCTTAATGTTAGCCTGCTTTATCTACTTACAAAAATAAAAAAAGCACAGTAGCTTAACCTCTTACACCCTAAGGGGGTATAAATAAATTTCTGCCTGACAAAAACACACAAAAGTAAATCACTTATAGCCTCAAAGCTATTAGATTTAAGAAGAAACTTTTGGTACGTCTGTAAAGGTAAGATGTCATAGAATGGTTTTCTGGTGTCAGCACCATTGTAGCTTTGACCCTGCCTGAAATATTAGGGACAAAATACAAAATATTTTGCATTTTTTGAACCTCGCCAAAATTTTCTTTGAAATAAACATTGCAAAACACTACCAAAATATTATTTATAGCACAAAAAAGTAGTACAGACTTTCAAATCTAAATGTTGTGTAAAAATATACCAAATTTGGACTCAATCAGATGAATCATATTTATTTTAGAATGGTATTAGTGAGAAATTTCTTAGGCGGAGAGGCCATTTTGGCACATTTATCCATAAATGTCACCAAACTGTGCCAAATATGTTTTTTACATCAATACTGGGGGTTTGGTAAGATTACGAGGTCACGTAGCAGCTGGACCTACGGTGGGTCCGTAGGGTTCAAGGGGTTAAGATTGCACCACCTTCAATAAGAAAGCTAACCTATTTATAACTGGAGCACAATATTTGGAGAGAATGTTTTAACATAAATATTACCTCCAGCTTTCGATTTTGATTCACCATAAATCATATAAAACATGAATGCTGTGTCACCTAACGTGACATTGGCAATAAGATTGATTCTAAAAACTTGGATTTAATTTCTACTGGAAACAATGATATCAACTTCAAGAGGGTTACTTTATGACTGAGAGTTTGGAGTAAATTTAAAAGAATATTAACAATGGACCAAGAACAACCTCTTAGCTCTTCACCAAAAAAAGAAAAAGAAATGAATCATTCAAAGCCTAGGCTTCCTGGTTTAAAGCTTAGGCTATCCAGCCTTTCATGTTATTTTCTTAAGGCACTGATTATGCTTTAGGGTTCATCTGTGCTTTCCACATTTTTTACTGACTCCGCCAAAAACATTCCTTTAGAAAATACACCCATAATGTGTCTTCACATGAGTGAAGACAAAGGAGTAAATACAGTTAAATGGGTGAATTTTCTATAGGTTTGCAATAAAAGAATTATTTTAAGATTTCTGGTCTAGGGTTACTTTACATAATTCAGAGGAAACAAACACAACACCCTTCCTATGGTGATTTAGTCTGTAGCAGGCTGACATTCATAAATTTGTGCAAACCTATTTGCATTGTTCAGTAAAACCCCTGAAGCTAAGGAGCAGAATGTTTCTCTTGAGAAAATAGGCTTCAGTATTACAAGCAAATATAACCACCTCTAATTAAGCCATGGAAATGGGAAGAGAATGTTGTGAAACTTTAATGACCAGAGATTATATTGTTCGCTCAGTATAAAACAGAACTATTTGAATATGACATTTTCCAGTTTGACTTGGTGTGCAGTGACCAGTGGAAGCAGCCGTTTACCTCTACTGTTTTCTTTGTCGGAGTTCTTTCTGGATCCTTCTTTGCTGGACAACTGTCAGACAGGTAATAAAAACACTAAATTCCTGTTACAGAGTCAGGGTTTTAGTTAAAGGCAAAATTTAAAAAATCAACTGTAGTTATTGTTATCAAAATAAATTAATTTGTTTTAACCTTGCTGTTATTTAAAGTCCTTTAAATGTATTCATTCCAGTGTTTCATATTTGTCACATGACAAATTCAATGTCAGGATTTTTTTATGTACGCAGTCAGAGCATTACAATTATCTATAATTATTTTACTAAAAATCTTGAAAATGTAGTATGCATCTATATACCTTGTGATAAACATAAATCAAATCCAGCAAAACAACTTTCAGATATCAACTAATTAGTAAATACAGTAAATATTTAACTAAATTAATCCAGGTATAAATGCAGCTGCTCTATAAATATAAAAATTAGTGTTCACTGAAGCCGGGGCTAAAGTTGCTGAAACTGGCAAGTTGATAGAGTTAAGTACTGTTTATGTATGACTTGTATTGCATTCACACTGAACGCGTTCTAGACATCAAAGTGTCTGCAACCGAGCTATCGACAATGGAGTTAGGAAATCTAACTTTTGTTTCTGGACGCCGGAACGGCCTGCCTGATCTGTCTTTTGACTCCTACCTGATCTCTGCCTGCTTGTGTACCGACCGGAACATTTTCCCAACCAGTGAGTCTGTATGCAATCATCCAGGCTGTCTGCCCAACTGTGTACAGAACCTAGAACTGTTACCTGACTCCATCTTGGATTCTCCTTCGGCTCCTCACCGGATCTCTGACCTTCTGGCTCTGACAACTGACACGTCTCCGGCATTGGCTTTGGCTTCACTGCTGGATTATCCTGCATACATCAGTCTGCTTGGTTTTTATCTCCTGCGTGTCGTCTGACCTCCGGTATGCCTCAATCTGGGACTCACTGAGTAACCGCTGTGCCACATTCAAAGACAGAGGGCCGGAATAGTCCTCACCCTCTGGACTAAGACAGAACTATAAGACTAGGTTTGTGATCATCCACCTCCAGAAAGATGTGGTGACTAACCTGCTCTCTCCAAATACAGAGGTTCCTGCCTTAGACACCGACACCAACCACCCGAATCTGGTGTCAATTAAAGACAGTTTTGTCTGTCTCAAATTACTGGATCCTTCTGTTCTGAGTCCTGACACATTGTTACTGTGTGATGTGTTTTTAAAGATGACAGTTGTTCATAGTTCTAAAGAAAAATAGACTTTTACTGTGTCAAGGGGAATGGAGAACTGCCAACTTTAATTGTATTATATTTATTTATTTTTCCAGATTATTATTTGTATGTTAACCACTAATTACCATTTATTCTGGGATCTACTATATTTGCAGACTGGGTACCAGGTCAGCACGGTAAAGGCAAGGCACTATTGTGCCATGCCTTTACACTGATGTAAAGTGAAAAGGCACTGATGTGTGTTTGGCTCAGATTTTTTATCTGTATGTTCTTGTATGCATTAGAAGATGCTAAAAATATTAGGAAAATTTATTATTTGCTGCACCATCAGACATGCATATTTGCATATAATATTGTAGATTTTCACATAAAGAGGACATCTACACTATTTAACCGATATAATTACACTGTTGATGCAATTGTGCATTGTAGGCATAGTTTATTTTTCAGATTGAAGTTGTTTATTTTTTGCATCTATCTCCCTAGGTATGGAAGGAAACCTATTCTATTTGCAACGCTGGCTGCACAAACAATTTTCACCTTTGCTCAAGTCTTCTCTGGCTCATGGATTATTTTTATGGTTCTCCTATTCTTAAATGGACTGGGACAAATGTCCAACTTTGTGGCAGCTTTAGTACTTGGTAAAAACATGATTGTAATAATAAACAGCCTTGAAATGTTAATCATTAACATAAAACCAATGTAAAGATAACTGTGCATTATAACATTAATTCCTTTCTGACTTGTAGGTGCTGAGCTTTTGACAGGGAACATACGTGTCCTTTATTCATCTATGGGCACCTGCGTAAGCTTTGCTATTGGATACATGCTTCTACCAGTTGCTGCTTACTTTTTGAGGGACTGGCAATCTCTCCTCATGGCTCTGTCTATCCCTTGTCTGGTATACATCCCCCTCTGGTGGTAGGTATAAAGAAACGTCCTGTAACCCTTTAAGTTTTAGCCTGGGCAAGTCACAAAAAAAATGCTAATGTGACAATGTATTTTAACATGTTTTCAAAATGATCAAACAGTATATACTATTTACTGTCAACTTTAGACTCCATTCAGTTGAGTTATTCTGCCTAATCCTGTTTGTGGATTATTTAACAATTAACAGGCTTCTGCCCGAATCTCCTCGATGGCTTCTCTCTCAAGGCAGAGTTAAAGAAGCAGAGGCTATAATAAGAAAAGCAGCTGAATGGAACAAAGTTCAAGCCCCAAGGGTCATTTTTGAAAATGACTGTGTAAGTTGGCTGTCAGACACACAGTACCCTATATGGTTTTACTCAGAAACTCTGTCTTTAAAATAAACCCCAACACATTTTATATCCTTCACAAAGAAAAAAAGATATATATTTTTTTACTGTCCTTACATCAGTTAAATTTTACAATAGCTAATCACTTCTTTTTTTTGTGCAAGTTTCTAATGGTATTTCGACACCTTGTCGTTAGTAATGAGCTCAAAATATTTTACGTTTTAGAAAGATTCTCTCACCATTCTGAGTTTGGTATAGGCCACTGTGAAATTTTCATCTAAGTTCCAGTCAAAAGAGTGGTGTTTAAAGTAAAATAGTACTTTAAAAATACAGTACATTGGGGGTTAACTGTAAATATAAGTTAATATTTTTTTTCTGTTTGTATAGAAGCTGACCCTGAATCAAATGCCTTACATCTTATGGTTCAGTACTTAGAGCTCAGCAGTGCCAGCTGTGTAGTAGCTCCCTGTAATGCATCTTTGAGCAGGTGGACACATTTTTTTTTTTTTATGTTCATAAGGATAAATTAATGGTATTTGTGTTCTGGACCACACAAATATGAATATATAATGCTCCTCTGGAGCATATGATGATTATTTTGTTAACAGAAAATTCCAATGTTCAGATAAATTGGGTTCTTTTTAGGCCTGTCAAATACATACATTTATTATGTAAATCACATCATCCAAACACATTGCATTGCTACAAAACCTTTTTCTCCCTGCATCCTTTCTAAAATAGCTCTGCTGGAGGGGATGATATCCCTTCTGTTCAGTTCAGGAACACAGGCCGCTTGTCCAACCAGCAGGTCTCGATGAGACTTAAATGATTCTGATAAAAAAAAAAAAAAAGAGGCAGATCTGTAGGGCCCAGTTTGATCACTTACAGTGCCTTTGAGCGGATGTCTCCTCAGAGCAGCGGCTGATAGCTTTGTAGCAGCTGAAGCTGTGCAGCTTCAAGGCAGTGGATGAACCAGCTGCACCACGGTAACAAGTCATGTCAGGCTGCTCAGAGTAGTTCAGCAAAATATAATTAAACCCTGTTTATCTGCATTTTATTTGTTTCTTTCTTCAGGTTATGGACTATATGCCAAAATGTTCAATGAAAACATAAGACTCAAAAAGACTATATTTATGTTTAAACCCAAAGCCAAAAAAGTTAGCTACCAGAAGTAGCACAGGATCTGATTTCCAGTACAGATCGGGCACATACAAGTGATAAAACATAAAGGATTGTAAGGATTTATTTTCTCAGGTCCGCTACGGATCGGGTCGTGACAGTTGCTTACATAATTTGACCACATTTACTTCCACATTTACTTTTTGTAGTATTTTTTAATCTTTTTAATCAACTCCTTAAATTATGATGTCGTCAGTTTAAAGAAGCGTTTGGGAATATGCATTTGATATAGTACAGGCATTTAGTCAGTCCACTTTTGTTTGATGAATCAATGAATCTGTGATTGACCTCATGGTCCCTTGAAGAAAACAGCAGATCTGCCTTAAGATGTATTACTTACACATGGCTTAAGGCAGCCGCACCTGTGGAACATGGCTTAGTGTGCGTGGAACCTATTACACCAGGCTAAGTTTAAATTCAGCGGCTGCATCCTCCAAAGGCCAAATTCGTCTGCAGATTATGTCATAGTGTGGCGCCGAGGCCTTTTCTGATTGGAAGACTACTTATTATGTGGCCTCCTAATGCGTTCTTCTTTTTGCCTATTTTGAGGGACAGGTCCAGTGTGTCCTACGTAGCCTTGGATATCCCATGATTCATTGCTAGTCAAAGTAAGCCAGCTGTTCAGTGCTCAGAGGAAAAAGGAAAATTGCAATGAACAGTGGTGAATATTGTAAGTGCAGTTTAATATAATATAAGTATCTGAATATATTTGTCTGAAATTAATGAAAGTAGTTTTTTAAATGGTTATTGAGTCAGATATGTGGCAGCCGGTAATGTTGTGGTTTATAGAAAGGTTTCATCTGTCCCCTGTGCAAATGGGTTTGGCTGACATTTAAGGACAGCTTCTAATATCTCTGCAGTGTGGGGACTAAAAATATGATATCATGACGATGGTACTGCTGCTGAAGGTCCTCGAAAATGTTACTGTTGCTAGGTGACAGAGTGTAAGGCTGGACCTGTTTGAATCCATGGCCAAAACTCTTCCGCCTTCGTTATTTTCACGGAGCCGGTCCAGATAGACCGGGTCCTTGGAGGATGCAGCCTCTTAAGTTGAACACACCCCAGGATTCACTCCTCATGCTAAGTCGAGTCAGGTTTCATCTCTTATCCTGGGATAAGAGATTAAATTTATATATCCTGGGATATATAAATTGCGCTTTTGTGAAATATGGCCCAGGATTAGAGATAAAGTCAGATTGTGAAAGCTGATCCTTTGCACATTCACCAAAGTCAAACATCACTTCTTTCTGCTATATATATTCCTGCTGCTCAGCTTTTTCCCTTGGCTTATACAGAGCATGTAAACTTTCCTCTTAAAATAATCAGAATCGAGAATAGGTAGGCGCTGGAGTCAATACAAGGAATCTGAAATGAAACCTTTATCATTCATGTTAAAATGGTGCTGAACCCTTAAAGGTGTTGTGGAGGATTTTCATGAATTTTTGAAAATGACCCGTCCTCTCCACTTTAAAAGAAATACACATGCACAACCCTGTACCCGCTCCAGAGAGGGAACAGCTATAAAACGCTTGCGTGAGCATGCAAGAGCCCATTTCTCCTCATGCAAGCTCTGTTTAAAAGTACAAGCTCATACAAGCTTACTTTCCAAAAGAAGATTTACCATTTTTCAAATATGTCAGACTCACCACCGGTAAAGTAAAAATGGTTACGGGAACGTATGACAGCCTTACGTAAACATATCATCAGAATAACTGACAATTAGAAGGACCATTTATATTGAGGATCCACCTGGAAAAAAGAACATCCTCCACTATACCTTTAAGCCCTGAAATAACTATTTAATTTTTATTTCTGAAGGTTGAAGAGAAAAAAGTTAATCAGGAACCAAACAGCATATTGGATCTTTTAAGGAACAGCCGGATCAGGATGACAACACTAATCCTCTGCTTCGTGTTGTGAGTATCAACCTTTGTTAGTTTTGGAACATGACATATTGGATTAACAAATATTAGTATATGTTGGAATTTTACAATTTCTTTTTTTTTTATTTCATGATTATGTTGGAATAGCAAAGAAAACCTGTTGAACCCTTTATGTATATCTGTCATGGCATATGTGTTTTTTTTCTTTATAAAGTAAATTAAGTATACACTGTCTGTAGCTACTCAGTTAGTCAGTTATAATTCATAAGACAGAAAAAAAGTCTGAAATGGACTACATTGTTATAATTACACATAAAATATTTAGAAATTTTATTTTTGTTGATCGAAATAACTTTCTGCTTAGAGCCAGTGAAATCCTGACATTTACCTTTAGAATGTTTTATCAGATTGATACTTGATTATACATAAATTAACACAGAAATCTATGCTGATTGAAAAGTATTTTTATTTAACACATTTTTAAAGGTAATCATTGTTAAAACTTGATAAAACAAGCTTCATTGGATAAAAAATATTTTAAGATAGGATAATATAATATTAGATATGACTGTAGCACTTATAATCAGTCTTAGCCCAAAAAAAGCCCTGATCAAGGGCTATTTTCAAGGTTTTCAAAAAATAACAGTGTCACTGATTTCAAATAATTTTTCTATTATAGTGTGAATTGGAATTCACACATTTAGATTATGTTGGAATGAACTCTCTTGGAGTTAATTTGTACAGAACTATTTGAATTCCGTGCTATTGGATATCATTGGGCCCTTTTCTGTTGGGGTTGAATTCCTTATGAGCTAATGGCAAGGAGGAGAAAAAAAATATTAAAATCATCAAATTATAGTAAATTGTTTACTTTTTTCACAGCTTCACCATGATTACCGGCTACTATAGTTTGTCCTTTAGCACAGCTCAGCTTCATGCTAACCCCTACATCAGCTGTTTCATCTCAGCTGTAGTGGAGATCCCTGCATATATATCCAGTTGGCTTGCATTGAGGTACCTCCCAAGACGACTCTCTGTATCTGGTTCATTGATCCTTGGATCTGTGCCACTGTTCATTATACAAATGGTACCACAAGGTAAGTAAAACAACATGCTGTATTTTTAGCAAAGTCATTGTCAGGGTTAAGGTGGTCTAAGAAGCTGTTTGATATGCTGTAAGAGATGTACTTAGTAACTTTACCTAATGATAAACATTATAGAAACTTATATGAATACTAATATGATAGTAAAGTAAAAAAAAATCTTGCTGTAATTTTTGATCAGTACTTCTCATTTAAATCCCATATCAAAGAGGTCTCTAGAATTTAGTTCTTTCATTGCAAAATATTGCAAAAAGGCTACCATGCATTTGTTGTTAAGTCTGGACTACTGTAATTCTTTACTACCAGGAAGTCCACAACTTTAATTAAAAGCCTTCAGCGGATCCAAAATGCTGCAACCAGAGTTCTGATGAAAATTAAAAGGAGAGATCATATCTCTCATATCCTGGCTTCTCTTCATCGGCTTCCTGTTAAATCTAGAATATAATTTACAATTCTCCTTCTCACATATAAAGCCTTAAATGGCCAAGCTCCATCTTGTATTAGATATTTGACTGTTCCACATGTTCATAAAAGAGCACTTAGCTTTCAATTTGTGAGTTTACTAGTGGTTCCTAGAATTTCTAATAGTAGAATGTGAGGCAAATCTTTTAGTTATCAGGCTCCTCTCCTGTGGAACCAACGACCAGTTTTACTCCGTTAGGCACACATCCTGTCTACTTTCAAGGATTGGCCGAAAACTTTACCTTTTGATAAAGCTTATAGTTAGAGTGGCTCAGGTTATCCTGAGCTATCTCTATAGCTATGCTGTTATAGGCCATCCTGGAGAAAGGTGTCAGCTGTGCTGCTGCCATCAACACCTTTTGTTTATAGATGTTGGAGCTTGGCCTGTTTTCTGTGTAGTCCTGTAACTCTGACTGTGACTAACTATATGTGCTCTCTTCTCTTCTTCCTGTTAAAAGGGAGTGTTTCCTCTCCACTGTCACTACAAGCATGCTTAGTGTGAGGGACTGCCTTCAGTCAATTAGGCGATGTAATCAACTGGTTCTCCTAAGCTATAGAAAACTTTGAATAATTGACTGTATAATCTGGTAGATTTGTCTCTGTAAAGTGTATTATTTGGTGTAAATAGCTCTATATAATTAAATGGAATTGAATTGAAATTGAATTATATTTGGCCTTATTGTTTTGTTTCAAAAACGTGATATTTCCATTTTACAGATCTGTCAGGTTTGTCTCTCGCACTGGAGATGGTGGGGAAGTATGCTTTCACCACCGGGGCCTCCCTTATGTTTGCCTACACCACTGAGCTTTACCCAACATCCCTGAGGAACACAGCAGCAGGGACTACCTTCACTGCGTCAAGGACAGGGAGCTGTGTCACTCCTTAAGTCTTGGTGAGCAAATTAGATGTAATAGTCTTACCCTTCCATAACCACCTGAATTGAGAGACTGTTGAAGCTCATTCTTATTTCTGATTAATCTCCCTTATTCTTTTTAGGTTCATATCTACAGTGCTTGCCTTATATTATAATTGGGGTTCTGGGTGTAGCGAGTGCTTTTGTTGCTTTGTTGCTTCCAGAGAGCTTTAGGCAACCACTGCCTGAATCCTTTCAACAAATGCATGAAACAAAAAGGTATGTATTATTGTAAGGTTTCCCATTAAACAAACTATTATATTGCTAAGAGATTTAATAACTAATACTATCATTAAAGAAACCTTTAAAAATCTGATCAACTCATTTTGGTTTGAGTGTGCCTTGCTGAATTGCATCTTATAAATAGAGTCTACTGTTTTCTTCTATATTAATGTTGTAATAATAGCACTGTTATTAGGTCATTGTCCATTCCAAATATCAATTTACACAGTCTTTAATTTACTGGCTGATGCTGTGGGACTATGAATAAAACAGTAAATTATTTGCTATATCCAGCAGATTTACTGGTTTATTCGATTATGCCAATTACTTCTTTACAGTGACAAGTCGCTCCGGCAATAAAAACATACATTTACTGTGAAGTCTGTACTTCACAGCTGGGATAGTAAAGTCTGGCTTGCCAGCTTTGTTTAAAAAAAAATACCATTTGTAGTTTTGTGCTCATATATATTTGTGTATTTTTGTACTGTAGGAATGAATTCAGCATGTGCTAATGTGTTCCTCTTTACCACAGGATGAAGTGTCCCTGCATCAACAGAACTAAAAGAACAGCACTGATGGTTTTACCTGACAGTCCTCTGTGACAGTCTGCTATGTTAGTATTTCTAGTTAGGTTTGAAGATTCTACTAAATAAAATTAACCCCAAATTACCATTTACAATGAATGTTCCTAAATAGTGAATTGCTGTTTGTTCTTACTGAGTTTATCTCAAACAGACAATTGGTAATATTTACTGCCAGCCAAAAAAACATGAACACATGTTTTGTTCAATCGCAAGCCATAATACTTGATTTTAATATTTGGAGGAAAATCTATATTAGAGTATAAGGGAAAAAAACTAAATATTGTAATAATGATTAAAAATCCATTGTTTATTGGAGAATAGCTAAAATCATGTTACAATCACTGCTTAAAAGGTATCTTTAAAAAGCAGAAGTGAAAACAGTTTCACTTATTTAGGGATTATTTTGCCTCTTTGAAGTTTCTGTTCTATTGAAATGTGCCTAGAATTTAAACTCTGATATAATGTTGTTAGTTTTGGGTGAAACTTGGTCCAGACAGGGACTTTTGCTCATCAGCATTTTTCTCCTCTTTGGTGTTGCTGAGGTTGAAAGGTTTTTTCTGACAGCACCTAGAAGGGAAAAGATGCATAGATTAATAAGTGATGAAAGAGAGAAGGGTGATGTGGCATATGTCTCATATGTCTTGAACCACGTAAATTGATAAAAAAAAAAACCTGCTCTCTCACCCACCCCTCTTATTCCTTGATGGAGTGGATGGCTCCTTCATTTCAAGCTTGTGTCCTCTACCAGTGCCCTGGGAGCTTCAGGGTTATTTTTTTAATCTTAGCTGTACCTAGAGCTGCAAGTTTCTGGACTGAGATGTCTGATGTTTCTCCAGGTATCTATTGGAGCCCACCAGTTGGCTCCAACAGATACCTGTTTGCTCCAGTGGGGGTGTTACTGCCCCCGGTTCTGAAATGACCATAGGAACTACAGTTGTCTTCACCTTCCAAGCTCTTTCAAGTTCTTCCCTTAGTATTTGTCCAATTTCACATTTTCTTTGTTCCTGATGTTTCTAGCTCTTAGCTCTTTCATTCTGGCTACCATTTTTACCAGCTTGCTAAAGGGCTGGTTGGATGAAGATATTTACAAATATTCCCAATTTGATCTGAGAAACTCAGAAATACTAATTTAACAATGGAAGCAGTTTTCTCCCCAGAGTCTTTTTTCTGAGTGGTTCCCGTATCTTCTGGACAATAAGATGCTACTTTTTTCCAATTCTTTGAACCATATGGCTTATACAAAGGGGTCAAAGTCAAAACTGAAAATCAAAGATGAAGGGACTAATTTTCATTTAGCACAATCACATGTTATGAACAAGCAGGGCGGAGAACAAATGTCCTAAATTCACATATTTTGACATTTATTTGCCGCTTTAAAGATGTCGAACAATTCAAGAGACTGTGCACAACTCCTGCAGAGCTTCTGCAGAAACTCTGCTGCAACCAACAACCTAAATTATGAAAAAAAGGTCACCAGGCACTACAAGTTTGGTTTTTGATTGTACTTTAAGGGGTTAAAGAGCTACAATCTTATACAATAGGGGCAACAAACACAGTTTTTTTAAGATAAATAAATCTAAATCAAGGGCTATTTTCAAGGTTTTCAAAAAATAACAGTGTCACTGATTTCAAATAATTTTTCTATTATAGTGTGAATTGGAATTCACACATTTAAATTATGTTGGAATGAACTCTCTTGGAGTTAATTTGTACAGAACTATTTGAATTCCGTGCTATTGGATATCATTGGGCCCTTTTCTGTTGGGGTTGAATTCCTTATGAGCTAATGGCAAGGAGGAAAAAAAAATATTAAAATCATCAAATTATAGTAAATTGTTTACTTTTTTCACAGCTTCACCATGATTACCGGCTACTATAGTTTGTCCTTTAGCACAGCTCAGCTTCATGCTGACCCCTACATCAGCTGTTTCATCTCAGCTGTAGTGGAGATCCCTGCATATATATCCAGTTGGCTTGCATTGAGGTACCTCCCAAGACGACTCTCTGTATCTGGTTCATTGATCCTTGGATCTGTGCCACTGTTCATTATACAAATGGTACCACAAGGTAAGTAAAACAACATGGTGGTTCCCGTATCTTCTGGACGATAAGATGCTACTTTTTTCCAATTCTTTGAACCATATGGCTTATACAAAGGGGTCAAAGTCAAAACTGAAAATCAAAGATGAAGGGACTAATTTTCATTTAGCACAATCACATGTTATGAACAAGCAGGGCGGAGAACAAATGTCCTAAATTCACATATTTTGACATTTATTTGCCGCTTTAAAGATGTCGAACAATTCAAGAGACTGTGCACAACTCCTGCAGAGCTTCTGCAGAAACTCTGCTGCAACCAACAACCTAAATTATGAAAAAAAGGTCACCAGGCACTAAAAGTTTGGTTTTTGATTGTACTTTAAGGGGTTAAAGAGCTACAATCTTATACAATAGGGGCAACAAACACAGTTTTTTTTAGATAAATAAAATAAAAATGTGATTAAAAAAAAGTAATAAATGGATTGAGTAACTATGGATGGTTATATCTGTTGACATTATTTCAATACACCAAAATGTATCCAAAGGTATAACATAAAAATACTAAGAACTGGATTTTTTATATATATTGTTTTGTATAGATAATTAAAATATTATATACTACATTACATTATGATATAGTTTAAAGTAAAACATAAGTGGAAAATAGATACTAACAGGTACTAAGGCTGATTGAACAACCTGCACAGCAACTGAAATGCAGGCTATCCACTTTGATGGGTGAGGGTGAAATAATAATTCCATGGTAGTTTACTACAAGACTCTAAAATACTTAAGTTTAAGATATTGTAAACCTATCACTTAACGTATCAATTAACTACTGACAAACTTTTTTTTGTTCTCAATTTAAGACTTTAAAAGAATTTCTATTTAATAGAGGGGTGACCCACTCCAGTCTTTAAGAGGTACTGCACTGCAACTATTTGATACAGTACAGTACATCCCTACGCCTATATTACTACATACAATAGGAGAGCAAGCAAAATCCGTACAGAAGCACCATTTCTATTGAACTGAGGCACTAGCATTTCTTACCAGCACTATACATCAAGTGTTTACAAAGTGTCTTATATTGGGTTAGGTTTTGGTAACGGTTAGAAAACAACTCTCTTGTTAAAGTTTATAAAGAAACAGGTCATCCATGTATAATACAGTCTTGAAATCCTTACATTGTGCTTTAATGTGTGTATGATCATTAACTTTTTTCTCAAGTTGGTTTATATCGGCAACATTATTAAAACAATTTGGGTGAAATGACATTGGTTTGGTGTTTTATTTAAACCAAGAACTATAAAAACCTACTCTAGTACAAAACCAAGGCCAGTCAGTCTGAAAACGGAAGAAGGCGGTAGTTTTCATTTACCCAGGAAAGCTTTGCATGTGGTCAATGGTGTCTGGCAGAGGCATTCCAAAGCTCTCAGGGAGAAGGAGACTAAGAAGTCCTGTCAAAGCTGTGAGACTTCCCATAAGGATGTAAGGCAGGGAAACAGAATATGTTCCTGTGATGAGACATCAAAAGAGAAATTATGTGAAGGAAAATGAATTCAGTCAGTGAAAACATATTAGAGCAGCTAAAAACAAATAACAAACAAAATATCTGGAAAAAAATTAAGTTGGGTAACATGTCATTGTAATTTTTCCCACCCATTAGAGTATGTAACATTAAAGTAGATTACATTGATATCTATGTCCTAAACCTAACTCCTAGCCCAAGAACAGCATAAAAAAACAATCCCACGTTACTGCTGAGAAACAATACAACATTGGTTCTCTCTCGTTGCAGCAGATGCAAAAGTACAGACACAAATCCCTACTCAGACATTTAATAAGACACATCCATTCTGTCAATTACACAGAGCATCAGCCCATTTCATAGACTTGACAGTCAATTAATTACATGTTACATTTCTATGTAAATATGTTTTTTCTTCTGATAGTATTTTAACATTTTTAATAGTTTTTTTTTCTGCAAATTACTGTGGTGCAAAAAGTTTTTAGTCAGCCAAAGATTGTGAAAGTTTTTCTAGAAAGAAGAGGTATGTAATGTTCATGATAGGTCCACATCAACTATGAGAGACATAAGCGAAATACCAGTGTAAGATTTTTGTATTTTGGTTTTGTTATGGTGGAAAATTTGTTTTTAGTCACCTACAAAGAAGGAAGATGTCTTGCCATCACAGACCTGTAACATCTCGTGTCCTCCACTTGTCCCCTGGGTTAAAGGCTGTCTGAACTTATTGTTTGTCTAGCATATAAACTGGAGAAGCGGCGCAAGTGAAGTTTGACACTGTCGTTGCACAACATGCAATAATTTATAAGTGTTTTAAATCAGGTCCCTTATTTTGCTGGAGCTTGCTTTCCAGTCTTTTCCTGTATACCTCCTTGTTTTCTCAAAGTGGCTTCTGAATGCTACTCAATAATTCTGTCTATCACCCTTTTCTTAAATATTGAATTAAATGGCTTTATTTAAATCCTGAGTGTAAGATTCTAAGTTTGTTATCCCATGATTATACCCAACCTTGCAGTTGGGTATAATCCTATGATCACCTTAGAAAACCTCCAGCTCCCAACTCCAGTCCTCCCTGGCAGAAACACCCTGCTTATTCTGTAAGCTCCTGTCTGAGTTCGATTCCCAGCTTCAGTCCAAACCATCCGCTAACCTCTCCCTTTCTCTGCCTCCAGTGCAAGGATGATCCAGCTCAAGTGGCTCCTCCATAACAATATTCATTCCTTCTCTGTTGTTTGCTATCAGTTTCAAGGGGAAAATAAAACCTTTTGATCTGAATACATCCTTCTCCTTGGCTGTTCTCTGCATGTGGGTCAAACGCCTTGCTTCTGACATGACACTTTGCTTTGTGGTGTCTTCTTTTGAAGGCATGTTTAACATTACCATTGTAACCAGAGTGTACTACAGCTGTATATGGGTTCACAAATATGAAAACCAGTCCGTTGTGCAAAAACCCGTGGGTGGCAACTGCTCTATATACAGAACATTATATGGTTTGCTTTAAGGAATAACTTTCTTTTTGCCAGTCTTCCACACTTTAGATTGGATTCCAATCCTAGCAACAGATCCAACAGTTATACTCTAGATGTTCATCCTTGTGTTTT